GGTCCAACTTTTCTAAAGTGGTCCAGGTCCACTCCATGCCGCACGTCAAATTGTTGATCTTATTCCATTGCAGATATAGAAACTGTAGGGCAACAAGGCGAGGGAAATGAGCCAAGTTGATCTTGGTCAGTTGATTATGCTCCAAGTGGAGCTCTTTAAGTTTAATGAGCCCAGCAAATCCATTCCGGGCCAAGCTCCGTAGCCGGTTACTGCTGAGACCCAGATATTCCAGGCTACGGCAGTCCCAGAAAGCTCGAACAGGAGTAGTGCGGAGCAGGTTGGAGCGAAGATGGAGAATCTGAAGCTTCCGAAGACCATGGAACAGTTCAGGCTCAAGGGAAGTCATCTGGTTGAAGGACAGGTCCAGGATCTGCAGGTTGATGAGGTGGATGAAGGTTGTGTTGGGCAACTTGGTGATACGATTGGAACTCAAGTTAAGGTCTTTGAGCTTGTACAGCCCTTGAAATGCGTCTTCTTGTACTGTGGTGATCTGGTTGTGATCTAGATGGAGCCACGTAAGCTGACTGAAGCCGTAAAACTGGTCAGGGCTGAGCTCGGTGATGCTGTTGTGGCGCAGGGACAGCCCCAGGGCTCCCTTGTCCACACCATCTGGGGGGGCCTGGAGCCCCTGGGTGTCGCAGTAGAACTGCAGGTCCTCACAACGGCATTTCTGAGGGCAGGTTGTGCATGTTGCAGGAGGCAGCAGGCACACGAGGAGCATGCTGATCACACACGCACACACAGCCGCTGGTGCTGGTCCCACCAATGGCCACCTTGAATGGAAACCTGGGTGGGTTAAAAGATAAGAAAATGAACTATGGGGTGGGAAAGCTAATCTCTGCAGAGCACTTATTACTTATTCATGCTGACGATTCGACTTTCTCTATGCTTTCAACCCCCCCCATGTATATGCTGGGTTTTGTACAACAGTCAACTTTCATGTTACATGTGAACATGTGTTCGTTGAGCTTTGGCTTCGTCTTTTATGTGGCTTTGTCATTGTCATTCACATTCACATAAATAGCCACTTTCATTGTATATCAACATGTTTTTAATTCCAGACATGAGCTTGAGAGGCTGTATATTAATGGCTCTTCTCAATTCAGGCTCTGTATTTGGATTTGAATGCAACCTCTCAACCAGCAATGGCTAAATATGACACAATTGATTTAAATTTTAGCGTCAATATCTTTTTAATTTCATTTTTTGATAACTGATCATATAGTAAAACTAAACACAGCTCATTGGAGCTGTGTAAAAATGTCAACTGATCATGGAGGAAAAATCTAGTTTCTGTAAAGGGCTGTGGAGATGTTATTGCTTATGCCTCCCTTACTTGCATATCCTATTCATGTCCAGACTGCAATATAAAAGGGGCTAACTTACCCATTCTTTTGTGCACATCGGAGGCTGCATTCAACTGTCCTTTTCTGCAGACTGTTGGAGCAACCAGATGGAAGAAGAATCCAAAGGGAAAAAACCCTTTTGATTAAGCACAAAAGGAATCAGCCTCTTTGGAAATAAAGCAAATCGGAGCCCGAACAAAATATGAAAATCCATGTCCCAGCGTATAAATCCTGTTTTTTCTAATGTTCTATTAAGTTCTGCATTTAAAAAGAAATCAAAGCTTCATTTACTCCTTGCCAAAATCCTTCAGATGAATGTTTCTATATTTGCTGAAGTTAATCAGTTGCGTCCAAAACGACTCCGGTGATTCAGACTCTCCCCTCCTGCTGCTCCTTTCTTTTACGTTTCCTTTCAGCTGCAGCGCTTGTCCTCTCTGATGGGTTATAATTGGAGTCGAAGCGATTTCTTCTCGTTTACCGTGGTCCTCCAAGCCCTAACTTGTTGATGGCAAGCAGGCACAGTGCTCTCTATGCCGGTGAAGAGAGACTGAGCAAAGCCACTGCAGAGCTGTGAGTGGAGCCTGTCTGCTAGCGAAGACGCAGGGAGAGAGAAAAAAGCAGAGCGGGGAGTCAGGGATGTTATTCTGTGCTTTTTGTTGCAGCCACTCAGTGCTACAGAGTGGTGGCAGCCTGGCGTCGATCATCACTACCATTTCTCTCTCTCTCCTCCGCTCTCCCACACAAACAGCTGGCCGCTTGCTACATGCCTCAGTCACTTGCTTTTTGTCTCATACGCGCTACTTGTGTGCACCTCTTTTCTTTTCTCTTCCTCGTCCCCCTAAAGCTCGTCAGCACCATCAGAATATTAATAACATGAATGTATTGCAGTACCTCACTGGTGAAATCAATAGATGACTGTAAATCTAGTATGTATGTATATATATATATATTTTTTTTTTTAATTTTGCTACATTTATGCAAAAATTACAACAAAAAACGTTAATTGTTATAATTTCAAAGACTGTCAACGCAGTAAAGGTACTATCTGCTCGTATCTGGACAGAAGCATAGGGTGTCTCGCTTTTATTTATTATTCAAATCTTCTGAGTGCCGTGCTTTTAATTTTTGAGCTATGGCATGTGATGTATGGCCATCTGCTCCCGCATTAGAATTAAACTTTGAACATGCAAAAAGAGAGAAACTAGACTATAAATTTCAAATTGAGTTATGATCTTTAAAAAAACGTAATATTGGAAGCAAAGTAATGGTACAAAAACCGTCCTCCGTCACTATAGGCTGGATTACATGTGCCTTATATTCACTGAGCTGAAAAGAACCCTCATAAAATGGTCATTACTTCTTAATGTTATATAATTTGTGGGGTTTTCTACATTTCCTTCATCTGACTTTTACAATCGCCTACCTGACCAGCATACGGCAGTCAGTCGCTGCATTTATTGTACTTGACTACATGTCCCACTAGGATTCTAATGCTCGATGTGAGAAAAACAAGGGGAAAGTTGCATCTCCAGGACATGATTGATATTCCCTTGGTGTTCTGTTTCTGCAGTTCAAAGTGCTTGTGTTTAACAAACATGGTAAACGTCTCTCCAATGTTGGATTTGGGGAACAGGATTTTTTGTTTTTATTTGCTGATATGTTTAGTGGAAGTAGGATGCGCCTTGATATGTCCTGAAGTATTGGAGGATCATAAAAGACTCGAGTAACTGCCTCCACTATGTCCAACCTGAAGAAGTGTTTGGAATCTTAAGTATGGAAATAAATGTTGAAGTAGAAGTAGAACACTGTAAAACCCTACCACATCAGAGTCTCTAACCAGCACAAAATTGCAGGAGATTAGAGCTGTTGAAGCCTCAAAGCCCCCTGACTATGCACATAGCTGCCAATGGACATTGGCTGGTGGGGGATGGTGCGGGTCAATGCTTCAGCCACATTTGTTATACTGGGGTTGATTTGATGCCTTTAATGTTGACTGACAGAATTCAGTTCTCCCACAACTTTTGAGTTTTGCTTTTGGCTGTCCTTGGTGGCTTCCCTCTGATTGCTCTGCTGTGTATCTTGGTGTCTGTTTCCACGGCCCTCCATCCCCTTATCCTCCTGAAAGTTTTAGTTATTCACTCTACGCTCCAACAGTTTGCACAATGTGTCTGAACATCTCTGCTCTCAGTGGGGAAACTAGTGGTTGGGGTTTTGACTCTTCCATGTGAGTGCCATGGCTGTGGTACTACCAGTGATGTTGCGGTGATATTGTACATAATTTACACGCTTGTCCATCCAGCATTCAATATTCTCCCGTTAATTATAATGCATAAAATAAAAATCTCCAAAAAAGCATATTTTTCCTGAATTATTATGCAATCCGTAGTGTTAAAATGTTGTGTGAAAAAAGAAATTGGAGCTATGCATTACTAGAATTTGTTCTAAATATTTTTAATTCAATACAATTTTATTTATAAAGTGCTTTACATACAAAAGATGCAACACAAAGTGCTTAACATTTTGGTTAAAAACAATCCCGCCCATGACCCCTCCCCCCGACCACCCAACAGACCCACCCCAAACCACATATATAATTAAGAACTCACACACCACGCAGACAAAACAAGTAAAACACTAACATGTGAGACTAAGTGAGACTAAAAAGAAACTAAAATACAATATATTAATAATGGCAATAACAATAAGAAATAATAAAGCTAAAATTTAAAGTCATGTGTTTCGCAAAAAAATCAGCTGTGCCTTTTCTGCCTTTGTTGCTGCTGTTTGATTTAAGCTCTTGGTATAATTTCTGTAAATGCTTTTTCCATTCAAAATCAATGAAATGTATTTATATGGCACAATTCATATTGTGCAACCAAAAGTACTTTGCAGGCTAAAACTAATACATTTGAATTAAAAGCAGACAATAAAAATGCAAACGCATATAAAACTCTTTGTATTAAAATTTGCCATATGAGCTGTATGTGTGTATTAGGGCTGGGAAAATAAACTTCGATATATCTGAATATGAAAACAAATGACATTCGAACCAATGTCAGACAGCCTTTAACATTTGAATAATATACTGGCATGGGCTTTTTGTGTAAAGTTCTTTTCCATGAATGCAGGTTGACAGCGTGTCCCGAGACCTTCCACAGACCTAATATAACAGCAGAATGTGTTCATGGAGCTGCGGCATAGGTTTATTTTATTATTAATCAGTATTTCTGCATCGGCAAACGCATTAACAGCACTTGTTTACAATCGCATGGGAATGAGAACTTGGGCCGGAGGCATATGTTCACAAGCACTATGTTTCCCATTGTAAGTCCTGGTTTAGTCCTGATATAGCTCCCTTTTTGACTGGTATCAAGTTTTTCTTCTTCTGACTAGCTTGTGTCCTTGTGACCACTTTGAGGCTCTGATTTATTTGCCGCATGTGTGGCGCACGGATAAAGTTTTTTTATATTTAAACCAAGGGAGATTACAAGCATTTATTGGTCTAAACAAATATTTGAATATATCCAAATTTAATCTTAATAACCAATTCAATTTGTGTGTGTATGTTTATTTGTGGGTATGTTTATTTGTGTGTGTATGTATCCATCCCCATTTATCCTTAAAGAACACCCTTAACTGGATATCTTTTTTTAGGCTGGAAGAAAGGACAAAAGTGATGCTCTGAATACTGCCATCGACCGTATGACCAAGAAGACTAGAGACCTTCGCCGCCAGGTTTGTTTTTGTAATGAGTTCCTCATATGATGTATTAGAACGCAGTCGTAATCCAAAATTGTTTCCTAACTCTGCAGCTAAGGAAAGCTGTAATGGACCATGTTTCGGACTCTTTCCTGGAGACCAATGTTCCTCTTCTGGTTCTAATTGAAGCTGCCAAGAATGGAAATGAGAAAGAAGTGAAGGAGTATGCACACGTGTTTCGGGAGCATGCCAACAAGCTGATTGAGGTAACTGTCAAAGTGCATTCTAATCATCATAGTGTCATGCAGATAACTAAATCTACCAATTTTAAAGCTGGCTTTTGTCATTTTACTTTTCCACTTGATCATTTTGAAAAGATACTTTCTCTTGGTTTAGAAAAGACATGAGGGTCGTTGTAGTATAATGTTCACAAAGCCGTAAAGTTTATATTTGGTAATTTAGTGAAAGGAGGAACGTTGCACACCAAACCGGGCTTAAAATCCTCCATTGTAAAGATAAATATCCATCCATCCATCCATTTTCTACCCTTTAATCCATTTCTGGGTCAGGGGGGTGGCAATCAGAGATGCCACCCAAGTCTCATAGCACCAGCCCCTCACTGACCCTCTGCAGGTGGTGAGTCCACAGGAGGACGGCTGCTCTCTGAGTGTGAGCACAGCCTTGATCTTTCAGTGGGGGCTTTGGGCAAAGTGGGGTTAAGTGTCTTGCCCAAGGACACAACGACAGCAGTCATCAGTGGGAGTCGGTGGAGAAGGTGTCGAGGTGGGAATTGAACCCACGACCTTCAGGCCTGAAGGCCAATGCTCTACCAACTGAGCTACTGTCGCCCTAAGATAAATATATTTTAACTAAATTATCAAGAATACATTCTGATTTATTGGAATGGACCTTGTAGTAAATAATTTCAAACTTTAGTATGAACTGTGACACTCCCCATTGAGATGTAATCTGTTTTCGAAAGCTGCTTTACTTCCTGAAATGTATATATTTTTCTGCCAAAATCATATTTACAGTTTTAATACGCTTTATCAGTATGAAACTATTATTCATATTTAGGTAAAGCTACAAATTCATATTTTAAAGCTGCACTAACTGACTTTGGGATTTTGAAGCCTCAGACTCGCTGGCCTCTCTCTTCCTGCTCCCCTCCCCGCACCCACGAAGCTATCGCCCCCCACACACACCCACTGTTGGGACGAAGCTAGCGTCTCCCAATATGGATAATACACGAATATGGATTTGCACGTGGATGGCGTGACCATAGAACGATAGAACCGGGAAGAGCGGAGGAACGGGGCTTTCTTTTGGATGGCTGTCTCGCTGTGTAAGCAGTAACCGGTGACGAAGACACACGAAGCTTCAGGTTAGCTCCTCGGCTTGTTGTGCTAACTCAGCTGTCTATGCTAACAGGGACCTGTAGATTTCTCACGAAAGTGGGGGCCAGTGGTCCGCTGTGATTGGTCACAATCTGCGACCCGAAACACATTCTCTTCCTTGTTTCATCAAAACTCGATCTAAAATATAATGTCACGCCAGCACAAATCTGCGCTACTTTTTCTTCAAAATGATGTATATCACAATGCACTGCATGGACATGGATAGCATTTTTGTAATGAATACAAAAATAAAGTCAGTTAGTGCAGCTTTAAGTTAAATCAAATAAGTACAATAAAACGAGCCCAACCCAAGGAATGGCATTTCTACTAGAAATAGCTGTCCTAGATACATTACCTCTCAAAAGTAGTAATACAGCTTAAACCTTTGCACATTTTGCCATCTTCACAACCATAAACTAGGGCTGGGCGATAAAAAGATAACGATATATATTGCGATAGACACGTGTTCGATATCAATAGAAAACAGGGTCGATAGAATTTCTTTAGTTTCACTTCAGTCTGTTTGAAAAAAACAGGAACAAAACACAGGAACTTAAGCCGAGTCAGAAGCGCACGGCATTCTGGGGGATGTAGGCAAAGGCTTCTCGACCTTTCACAGCCAACTACAAACCGCAAAACTTTCTGGGAAAAGCAAAAAAACGACCGCACCATGCGTAGCGTCCATGGATCTATTATAATAGCCATGGGTCTAAAGATCGTGTTTCAGTGCAGTGTCAATGGTTAAACACGTCCGTGCGATGAACAGCATGTGCGGCGGGAGAGGCAGTGGGTACAGAGACTCGATGCATTCGGCAAAAGCAAGAGATTAACTTTTTCCGGAGCCGCCACGGGGACACAAGACTCAAAATATATAAAATAGGTAAATGTTTGAAGAAATAGAATCTTAGGTCATATTTATTCGAATCATGTTTTGGCTACTAACATTGTTTTGTTTCTGCATTGTGTAATAATTTATTGCTATCCACTTGTTTTTATTTTTTGTACAAAAAAAAAAAAAAAAAAATTGAGTCCAATGTCTATTTGTGGAAGCAAATGCATAGCTCCAAAATGCACGTTCTTGTATTTTTTCAAGATTGCAACAAAACTTCAGTCACTGACATTTTGAAAGTGACTCCTCTCTGAACTTGAGTGTGTCTTGATTGGCTGCTGCAATGGAGTCTGTGCACTGTACAACGTGCTGAAAGGTCCAGCTGCACTGGGGACAGAACCTTAAATATTTCTTGCAGCTCATGTGTCAAGAGACACATCAGAGCATGACTCTGTTCTGCTCTACCTCGAGTATTGTAACAAATACTTTTGGGGATACATAGACATCATAAGAACCAAATATTTCCTCAATTCTATTCTATAAAAATGCATATAGGTTTACTAACATAGAAAAAGTGAAGTGGCCTGAGCCTCCTTTTGTTCGAAAGAGCCCTTGGGCAGATTGTCCATTAGTTCACACACGTGTTTTGAAAGGAGTATAATTTCTGACCCATATACTTGTGTGGCCCCTTTAACTGGCTCCTTTAGCCTTGTTTTGCAAAGCACCATTCTTCAACATGGCATTCATTCCCTCCAATGCAACCCGATTTAAGCCTTTGTGTGGGTGGAGCATTGGTCTACTGACCCATTTCTCAACTCCTTGAACTCTATCGAAATCATTTTCAAGATGTTGACTTAAGTGTGTACTAGATTTAATGTTTCTAATCTTTAAAGGGATGTTAAATTGTATGTAAAAATATCTTTTTTTTTTTTTTTTTTTTTTACTAGATTACAACCTCCTTTTATCTTGACTGTATTAATCATTTTGATTGACAAAGAAAATATTCTTGTGATGAATTTGTTGGATCAACCTCAATTCTTGAAGTCAACCCAGAGCCTTCCTGCCCAGTGGCAAACACTCTAACTACAACACCCCTGTGCTGTCAACATGCTTGGCAAATTCCATATTTACAAAGTCAAATGAAATGATTGTCAATGCTATCAAATACACAACTCCTCATCTTCATCGGAGGGGCCGATGGCGCATACTGGTTGCCTTGCTTCTGTCAGTGTGCCCCCGGGCAGTTGTGCCTACAGTAGTAGTTTATCACCACCGTGTATGGAGTGAATGAATGACATATAAAGCGCTATATAAAACCGAATTATTAATATTATTGTTATTTTATTTTACTTGAATTAGTGAGGGAGGTCTATGATGTCAGTAAATATATTGAAAACCATTTAATTTCACAGAATTAAGACATTTTTTTCTTGTGAACTCAACATGTAGCGCACTCTTTTGACCCCACTGATAAGCATGTTTATGGCCTGCTTACCCATTTAGGCATGGCAATTTATTTGTATAGCACAATTCATACACAAGGCAACAAAAAGTGCTGAACAAAACAAGATGGCATTAAAATCATAAATAATCACAGTACATGAACTGTTTTTAACCCTGATTTAAACATTGTCAGAGAAGTGGGCTGTCTCATTTATTGTTTGTGCATTTTTTAATCTGTGACCCAAATATTCATTTATTCCTAAATATGCATAGGAAAAGTTGTGATTTCTGGATTTCTTGGTCAGTACAAAAAATGGACTGTGGGCGTTGGCAGCCATGAGCAGCAAGTTGCTTAGCTCAGCAATCCATTTCAGCCTTGGCTGCTCAGTGTGTGTAAGTGTCAGGAATATTTGCCACTCTGATTTCAGAACTGGTGGTAATCTAGCGTCCTTTATAGTAATTCTAGAGAACAGGAGTGTCAGAACACAACAGTGGGTAACACTATAATGAAATGGTGTTTAATCAATTATCACTTCTAAACATAACTACTGGTACTTTATTATTTGTTTACTAGTGGGGGCCTAAAGTTTATTACACAAACTAAACTTTTCGAGCAACTTTCCACCTCATTAAAATCATGTGAATGCCATCATGATTGTGTATCTACAGCGCTACCGCAGGGCCTTCATCCCCACCACTGTCAGACTGTGCAATAGGTCACTTTTAGTCACAAACCTGCTCTACTATTGCCACTTTTTAATTGTACATATAATATCCTAAAAAGACAATTTTTTGCCTTTAACATGTTTGCACACTTCTGTCTTTTGCACAAATCAGAGTGATTCTATCCATGCCAAATGTGACATGTTAAATTTCTCCTGTGTGAGATCAATAAACTCTAATCTGATAATGTCAGTCTTCTACCCCTTATCTTCTCTAGAAGGCTAAAGATGATGGGACAGACTAGATGTCAGTTAGTTACATCTAGTCTATAACTTACTGTTTGTTTGTGTTTAGGTGGCCAACCTGGCATGTTCCATTTCTAACAACGAGGAGGGAGTAAAGCTGGTCCGCATGGCTGCCTCACAGCTAGAGACGCTGTGCCCTCAGGTACTCTTTTTTTTTTTTTTTGCATATTAAAAATATTGATGTAATTGACCAAAGATACTGGTTCTAATCTTTTCGTAAAGATATCGAGAGCAGCTTTAAATATGATTGAGTTCGTTGGCTCTTTGTGATAAGAGTTCTCTCGTTAATTGCATGTAATGACTTAATTTATTCTGAGTTGATGCCCACAGATGTTTCTTGGAAAAATATGTATTTATTAGTAATATTTCATGCATTTATATACAGTGTTCCATATAAGCTGCATGTCTGCGCAATTGCACAGTGCGCAGAAAACTCTCCTGCGCACAAAATAAAAATCCAGTGTCCTGTGCTGCCTGCACAAACGTCGCAGCCGCGTATTTCTACAATATATGGACCTCGGTGGATCTGTGCGCCCAGCCCAAATCCTCGGACTAGAAAAAGTCAGAGGCAGAGAAAGCTGCACACATGAACCGCAAATGCGGACTCTGCCTCGCACCGTACTACACCAGCCGTTGCTGTGTGTGCATGGAGCTATACACACATCGCGCATGCACACATGTAGAGACTTGGATTGTATGAACAGGAGAGTCCCTCTCTTTGCCCAAAGTGCAATTGGTGGTGTTATTAGCACTTATCCTTGCACTGATAAGTTAGTTAAAACCAGCACTCCCTTCAGTTCAGCACAGTTTTCCATTGCTAAGTAAGATGGTTTTGTGGCAAAATGACTATCATTATCTTTAAATAATTGTAGGTCTTTGTTTTTATAATTCCATTAAAGAAAATAAAACAATGAATACCATTGATAGTATTATAAATATGAGTAGGTTATATCCTCTTTGAATATTTTGTTGTTTTAATGCATCTCACCAAATAACTTTCTAAATCAACTTTATGCATCATGATAAGGAGAACATTTAACCAAATCATCGTTGGTTGAAGCTGAAGTAACTTAGATAAATTAGGCTGCGGTCACATGCCCAGCCTAAAGCCCGGTTAGTGTGCCTGGGTCCACTTCGCCATTAGATTTGGCTTTAGGTGCTATGTGACCGCAGCAACTGTGCTTTGGGACGATTGCTGCAAGTGGGCCTGAGCACGGTTGGGAGAGGTTGGGCCTGAGCACGCTTCCAAAGCCCAGATGAGAGGGGTCACTGTGGCGGGTGGTGGGGAGTTGATATTGTGAGTCACATTACGTCTTCCGTTGTGACGGGCATTTTCACACGCGTCTCTCCTGCACTTTCGTATTCTTCGCTTGTGTTAAACCTTTCGTATAAGCCCCAGAAAAGCGTTTCCTACGGGAATAACTCCCTCTGTTCTGACCCTCGCTCTCAGTGTGGTGCTATTGCAATAAGACTTCAGACATTCAAGAATCAGTCTTTATTTAATCACCAGAAAACTCCAACACACACTTGTATCCTGCCCGTCTCCGGTCGCCATGCTCATACGCCACGCTTTGCATTCTCATTCATTAATTTCTCTTTCGCTCGTTATTAAAGAGTGTGTGTGTGTGCACACACTCGTGTCCGCGCGCGCACACACGCATGTACACACACGTGCACACACGTTACCCACTTAACTGCTGCCCTTCGCATCAGAGCAATGTGAACAAGTGTGAGATGTGTTTTTCCCTATGTAAACAGGAAATGAAACTTTAACTCTGACAACAAGGTGGTCGCTGAAGTTAGTAATAGCGCCACCAGCTCGACTGAGCGTTGTACTATAGCACAGTTGCTCTGGCACATTTTGCAAAAACACGTTCATGTGACCACGGGCCGTGCTTCACACCCCTGTGGCGACGATCCGGTCCACTTGGCCCAATTCGTTTGTAAAAACCCATGTGACCGTGCCCTTAGATTGAGATCAACAGTGATCTCTTGCTCAGAGTGCTCCACGTGCCGCTCAGGGGGTTTGTGTTTTTCCTCAGCTCCATAAAAAAATTAGAGGGAACTCTGTTTTTATATATTTCACCAATCTCTTATATCACAACCCAGGACTGAATATGTTTACTGTATGAACATTTCTCCATTGTGGGATCAATAAAGTTTATCTTATTTTACCACTCTCGCTGTTGTTGGTCAAATTGGCTTCATGCAATCAGCCTATGCTAATATTTAGGGCTGAAGGCTTTGCTGGAATGGTTTTAATGGCTTTAATTGGGTGATTTCAGGTGATTAATGCAGCGTTAGCCCTGGCTGCTAAGCCCAACAGTAAGGTGGCGCAGGACAATATGGATTTGTTCAAGGACCAGTGGGAGAAGCAGGTCCGCGTCCTCACAGACGCTGTTGATGACATTACGTCCATCGATGACTTCCTTTGCGTGTCAGGTGAGTCTCATTGGTCTTCTGAAATTTCAAACTCTATATTTATTTTAACCTTTTTATTTTATTTTTTTCCCTATTTACATACCAAGTGCTGCAATTTATTCCAATTACAATTCAAGGCATTTGAAAAAACATTGCCAGAAAATAATAACAGCCCCATACTTTGCTGCACATGTTTCATGTCTACAACAATTGTAAAGCGCTTTGACTCTGATTTCTGAAAATACGAAATATATAAAGATGAATTTCTTCTTTCACAATCCTAATCATATACAGTACAGACCAAAGGTTTGGACACTTTCTCATTCAATGAGTGTCCTTTCTTTCATGACTATTGACTGTAGATTCACACCTAGGCTGTGTAAGTGCTATTTGACCAAAAAGGAGAGTGGTGGGGTGCTGGGCCAGATGACCTGGCCTCCACAGTCCCCGGACCTGAACCCAATCCAGATGGTTTTGGGGTGAGCTGTACCACGGATTGAAGGCAAAAGGTCCAACAAGTGCTAAGCATCTCTGGGAACTCCTTCAAGACTGTTGGAAGACCATTTCAGGTCTCTACCTCTTGAAGCTCATCAAGTGAATGCCAAGAGTGTGTGAAGAAGTAATCAGAGCAGAAGATGGCTTTTTTTAGTACGTACATAATACGACATGAGTCAATTTATAGTTTTGATGCCTTCAGTGTGAATCTACAATTTTCATAATCCTGAAATAAAAAAAATCTTTTAATGAGAAGGTGTGTCAAAATGTTTGGTCTGTACTTTATGTGATAATTTGGATGATACACTAGGGCTGGGCGATATGGCTAAAAACTATATCACAATATAAGCGATTCATATAGGTCAATATAGATAATTATTGATTTAAAAAAAAAAAAAACCTAAATAAATTTGTTGTGTTGGCTAACACATTATCAGCACTTGTTTACAGTCACGGGGGAATGAGAACTCTGGCTGGAGGCATATGTTCACGAGCACAATGTCATTCCTGGTCCAATTCCGGTTTAGTCCTTGTTTAGCTCCTGTTTTTTTGGCCGTTTTCATGTGTCTTTAGTGTGTGGCCGCCCTTGTCTCCGTGACTCACACGTGTGGCCAGTGGAAAAAATGTATCTTGCTTTTTCAGCATGCATAGAGTCGTCGTGCCCACTAGCTCTGCCACGGCGCACTTGCTATTCCTCTCAGATATGCGTCACCATTGAAACACGACGCACGTCTGGTTGTTGTTGTGGTTTTTTGCATTTCCCAGAATGCCTTGTGGTTCATGCTCGGCCGTGATAGGTCGAGAAGCTTCTACCTACGTCCCAGAGAATCCTGTGTGCTTCTGACTCTGCTTTACTTCCTGTTTTTTTTATAACTCTGTTAAGTGAAACTCAGGTTAAACTCAAACTTTCAAACATTCTATCGATCCCATTTTCCATTGATTTATCGTTCTATCGGCCAGCCCTATGATGCACCATGCAATACTCGGAGTGTATGAAATTATAGCCATTTCTTGCATAGAGGCGATGCCACCTCGATGGAAACCTGTGGTTCTCTGCTCCTCTCTTGTTCTCTGCCTATGAACCCTTCCTTCCCCAGTGACATAGCCCAGACCACAGCCCAACTCGTCCCTCCCTGAGCTCACACTAATTCTGTCGTTTGCTGGTACATTGCGGTACAAGACCTGAGAAACTTTTTCCCACAATGGCGATCTTAATCGAACCCGAATTATTTAGTCAGTAGTGGTGTACGGCGAGTTGGTAATACTGTACTTAGGTCTTTTATTGTGGGATTTACACCAGATTTCAAGACCAGCTTCTGTGTAAGCCCAGTTTCAAAGTAATCAAAGTTCTGGAGGTGTTGCTTTGTCACATAGTTACTCTCGAAAACACGTTCTCCAAGTTGACATGATGCCAACACTTTTTGTCGGCAATAAGAGCAGTAGAACAGAGTTCAATGTGAAGCGAACAGACTGCAGTAATGCATCCATGACTTTGGTACTCATGGATCCCCTGTCAAACACTGTTGAGTGCCTTCTGAAGGCGAGCTTTTGCAGCTTGTGCCGCGTCATAGAGTAGTTCTTTTTCAAATTGAACAAAGGCGTTTTTCTACCTCTTTTCAGAGGTAGAAAAAGAGAAAGATCACTTTCTCTAAAGCTTGAGGAACTCAATGAAAAAAACTTCTTTAGGCATGTGTATGAAGGACAAATAGCACTTTAATGATGTTTAAAGTATAGAAAAGTCAAAAAGCATAATATTATGAATAAAGTTTCTTAATGTAAACTTCAGCAATTATATTGGTTAAAAAGGACACTTGAAAGCACTGATGTGTAGGGTATAACTCAAATCTTTAGTTATACCCTACACAAAGTTATATGTGAAGAAGTAATGGGCTGTGACCTGAGCCTGAATGTCCTGTGAGACACTGGGCTCCTGCTATTAGAACCATGTTGCGTTGTTTGGGATGAGTCTGTTGGGTGAAGGGTCAACAGACATGGATTGTTTTTAACCAATTGTAAAGCAGTTTTTGTGCGCTCCACTAACTGCTCAAAAAGACGAGCTGTGAAAGTCATTATGGTTGTGATACTACAAGCCCAAACAAATGGTTTTGTGTAGAGAAAATTATTAAACTGTTATTTCAGAAGCAAAATCTTGTTTGTGCATAAAAAAAAGCAATATTAAGTATCATACATGTATTATCTATTATAATTATGCAACTTAAATATTCTCAGAAAACCACATTCTGGAGGATGTGAACAAATGTGTGATCGCTCTACAAGAAAAAGATGTTGATGGTCTGGACCGCACCGCTGGGGCCATCCGAGGTCGTGCCGCCCGGGTTGTTCATGTGGTCACCTCAGAAATGGACAATTATGAACCAGGAGTATACACCGAGAAAGTCCTTGAAGCCACTAAACTGCTCACTGACACAGGTTATTTCATGTTTTTTTTCCTGCTGCACTTTAAGGCAAATAACTTTATAGTTTGATACTAATGTTTATGAGAGTATAAATATTATTTTCTTTTCATTTCAATTTAACATTTTTTGAGGTACAGAAATGCTGAAATTATATGAAAATATTTGTTTCAGCAATAAGGGAGAAGCCTAGATAAAAAATGATAATATGGTTAGTACAAGCAAGTTTGTAGAAGCCATGTTGGGCTTCTCAAATCAATTATCTTAAGATAAGAGTTCCTTTATTCGTCCCACAGTGGGGAAATTTCGTTGTTGCAGCGCACATACAGGACAGTAATATATACAAAATGTTTCATTTGTATTGAAATTGTAAATACTACATTTCAAATTTGTTAAGGCCCAAGACGCACTTAGAGCTGCTCACAGAGACAAAAAGCATGCCTCCTGGCAGAACTTTGAACACTACTTAATTGGATTTGTTTTGAAGAAAAATCTCCAATCTAAACCAACTTGCTTTTGTTTTATATATCTATTGCATGTAGTCATACAAGAATATTTTGTCAAGTTAACAGCTTTGTTTAAGGATTAATTGTTCCTATTATTTTACTTTTTGTTCTACCTGATCTTTCCATGTTGGCCCAAACTGAATTAATAGTAAAATTTATATCATGATCCAATGAATTCCTTTCAGTTCATCCCCTGCCCTTTTTTCCCAGTCATGCCACGCTTCACAGAACAAGTGGAGTCTGCAGTGGAGGCTTTGAGTGCGAATCCAACACAACCTGTGGATGAGAACGAATTCATTGATGCATCCCGCCTGGTGTATGATGGCATTCGTGACATTCGCAAGGCTGTGCTCATGATCAGAGTGAGTCTTAGTTTTCTAATTTCTATGCTTTCTTTTCATTACATAGGAGGTCTTGTATATGGACTTGTACGTCGTTACACACGTATACTCAGTTATACATGGCACATTCTAATACTTAAGAGCTTTCAAAACCTAGGTTATGAATGTCAACATACTTTAGTCTTTTCAAAGGACTTGTATTCGGCCATGCTCTGTAAAGAATATGTTATATGGACATTGGAGCAGAAGCAATGTGAATAGTTAAAAAAATGCATTTTTGCGGTTCTTGCAAGCAGGTGATTAACTTGTCTCAGACATAAGCCAACCTATTTGGCCAGGTTTGCAATCTTGTGTAAGAACGGCCTTAGATGTCTCAGGGTTAATGGTCTCTGCCTGAGTTGGGGGTATAAGGGAGACTGATGGAGGGAAAACACAGTTGGTGCTTTTTAAAATTGATAAAGCAGAAAACAATTGTACTGGGTAAGTAAGACTACTGCATTATTTGTTTTGCTGTTACTAGGTATAGATAAATGTTATTGTAAAAGCTCCCCGTTGTGATTTGGATGCATTCTCTCTTTGACTTGTTTCGTCCAAAGTATCACTCCTTTTAATAATTGTGTTGATGTGCAAGTATCCAGTATTCCGGCTGACTCTGCATTATACGAAGCTATTGATGGAATTATTTTTGTTTGGTCAGACCGCGATCTACATTTCTTGGCTTTATCCAGGTTGACCAAGCTGTCAACGTTGGTCCTTTTGGAAGTACCGGTTATTTGCTTGTAGGATGTTAAAACATGGGTGGATTTATACTTTTTAATCCAGCCATGCTCCACTGCTAACATCAACAGTAAGCAATTCATATCCAGTAAAGATAATTCTCTTTGTAGTAATTTTGCAAGATTTATTGACAAAAGTAATTGTTGCAGGTTTTTATTATTCAACACCATTGCACAGCTGTTATTCAGGTAGTTAATTGAGCAGCTTCCAAATGCAGTAATGAGTTTTGCCTGTTATGTGTGTGTATTATATTACACACATAATATATATGGTTGGTAGGTAGGTAGGTAACCAGAGGAAACCCACACTCTTCATGTTGACGTGGAGTGTTGGGAAATGTAAATTCTTTAGTGGATGTGACAAGTATGGTTTTAGTTTAGGGCAGTCCAAAACAGACGTATCTAAGTGGTGTACAGGCAGCATCTTGCATGTCCCCCGTCTATTGACAGCTGGACAGAAGCCTGCCCGACCTATAGTGACATGAGTATATACCTGTAGACGTTAGACAGTCGCTGACAGAAATACAGGGGGCAGTGGTGGAGTGTGCATAGTCGATTCTCCTTAAAAGCATGGCAAGTAGCTTGTCACCCAAATAGAAAATGTTCTCACTGGGTCTCTTCCTGCAGCCTCCGTACAAACATACACAAAGGTATTATCACTTTTGTTAGATGGGTGTAACCGAAGCCCAGTGGTCGGAGCAGAGGCAGGTTTTTTAAAGAATGAAAGCTGTTCCAAATCTCCCTCCACAGGGCTGCACCTCTGCTCTGCCACTCTATTTCCCCTCCAACAGCCCCAGGAATAAAGTCTTGTCATGTCTTTGGCCGTATCAAAAATGTGAACAATATTTAAATAAAGTTAAATTGGTTCATAGACTTTATGTAGATAAGATTACCAATTATTAAAGATTTTAAGCACTGTGGCTAGGGCTGGGCAATGTGGTTAAAAAAATAAATAAATCACAATTTCAAGAAAAATTTTAACATTTTCACACCAAACCCGATTTTCAATTTTAATTATTTTTTTTCTATTTAAAAACAAACTACAAATGAAAAAAATGGCTCAAAACAAATTTAGTTTTTATTTTGTTCTGATTTTCCAATATGCAGTTTAATCACTATTTCCCCATGGAGCATAAGTGTAACAGGAAATAAGCCTTAAAACATTTTCGTAAACGAGATGGCCCTGCCATTGTAAACAGTGAAAATGTAGTTTATCAGTTTTCTAAAAACTTCACATACAGTGACACAATGCACCTTCAAAATAACTTAAAAGGCACAAACGAGGGCCATAGAAAATATTTCAATCGTATTAATCACATGCATTATTTACTTGAAATATCACATTTTTTAAATGAATGATTACTCTAAATACAGCTTTTATAACAGTCTGTTACAAAAGCCTCCTCCTTGGGTTTTCATATTTACTTCCACAATTAAGACTGTTAGCATTAGGGAGTTCTCGGAATGACTGCCCACGCTGATGCCCAGGATGCACCGCTCTACACCCGCGGTTAGCGGGTTAACACTAGAGCTCCGCGCTGGAGAAAAAGTCCAAAAAAATCTATTTAATCACCTAACAGACCTCAGATATGACAATAGTGGGGAATATTTCCCACCTCAAATGTTATTACAATTAACTTTTATGTCCTAAAAACGTATATTCAACTTTTACCTTTTACCTCATCATGGCCGCTCCTCTCTCCGTGATCCATGCTACTGAAGGACGCTCACGTACACGGGCACGACCTGAAAATAGTGTGCAGTGTCCGAATCACCAACAGAATGATTCGGACTCTGCACACTATTTTCAGGCCGTGCCTGAAATGGATCACGGAGTGGAGAGAGGAGCGGCCACTGACCCCACTCTGAACTACGGAAGCCCAAGGGGAGCGTTGTTTGTGGATGTTAGAGAAAAATGAAATCCACCTAAACATCAAATTTAACTTGATAGATAAAACTGATTTGATGCCCAGCCAAAATCGTGGCCTTAATATTCAGGACAATTACTCAGGGAGCAGATAACCCTCGCATTGGTACAAACATTACAGCTTTATGTGACTTTGATTTTATAAAGTCTTGATTTTTGTCCATGCTTGCCTCCTGGAGCTTTGCAGTCCTGAGCATTGGCAGAAGGTTTTTAGAAGTACACTGCATTTGAGCGAAGTGAAATTTCTCAACTAATGTCTAAACATACCAGTTGAATTGTAATTGCCGATTTATAACTGGTACTGATAGAGATTGATGGTTGACACAATTCATCCATCCATCCATCAATCCATTTTCTTCCGCTTTATCCATTGCCGGGTCGCGGGGGCAGCAGTCTAAGCAGAGACGCCCAGACTTCCCTATCCACACACTTCCTCCAGCTCGTCCGGGGGGACCCCAAGGCGTTCCCAGGCCAGCTGGGAGACATAGTCCCTCCAGCGTGTCCTAGGTCTTCCCCGGGGCCTCCTCCCGGTTGTTACGTGCCCGGAACACCTCCCCAGGGAGGCGTCCAGGAGGCATCCAGGAGGCATCCGAAACAGATGCCCGAGCCACCCCAACTGGTTCCTCTCGACGTGGAGAAGCAGCGGCTCTACTCCGAGCTCCTCCCGTGTGACTGAGCTCCTCACCCTATCTCTAAGGGAGCGTCCAGCCACTCTGCGGAGGAAGCTCATTTCGACCGCTTGTATCCGCGATCTCGTTCTTTCGGTCATTACCCAACGCTCATGACCATAGGTGAGGGAGGGAACGAAGATTGACCGGTAAATCGAAAGCTTTGCCTTTCGGCTCAGCTCCCTCTTTACCACAACGGTCCGATACAGCGACCGCATCACTTAACTGTTCAATAATTATTGAACAGTTAATTTTGCATACATAAATTTGGTAATATAGTGAGTGGTAAAAACAAAACCCAAAAAAACAAAACTACAGCCGAGGAAGCAGCGTTTGTAAAGTACTGGTTGGAAAACTTGTTACATTGAACACGAAAAAAACAAAACATGCAAATGTGCGCATTATTTAAGTTTTCCATTGCAGTTTTTATCATGCTGTCTACGACAATTTATTTAGAATGCTCCATTTGCCCAACTATTGCCAATGCTTTTGTCATCTCGTTACTGCTATATTCTACAGAGCAAAATATATATATCAAGTGTCGGGTTCCCATTCTATCTCCTCAGCCTTCCAACATCCACAGGTTATCTGGTGCACAGGCCACAGCAGGTGATATCTCTGCCCCACTACACACCATTGTCTGTGCTGAAAGGGACCCCTCTTAGTCACCACTGCTTTGATTCTCAAACTATAGTACTGCTCCCCCGAGATCAGGAACATCTCCACATCCCATAAAGAAGAATAAGGTTGCCTTGGGAGCTTGAGCTATTTTTAGATTTCAGGGCTCCAAATCTGTTGAAGATGGAATATTTTGAGACTGCTGAATGAGACCAGCAGAGCAGGCGTCATAATACACCTTTATCTGCCCTGTGCCTATATCGCGGTGCTATAAATTTCCCTGTCATTCTTTGTTGTATTTTTCTTAAGGCGTGTCCTGTTGAGACAGAAATTCTCTTCTATTAATATTCATGAAACTTTCCTGTGCTTTGCATTCAGAGCCAGGGATCCAGATCAGAGATGAAGTAGCGCCACTCCAGAAGAGCATAACTCATGCCTCACCCTCTTCTGGTGATGGCAGCGACAGATGGGAATCTGAGGCGTTTTTCTCCCAATATGTTTCATTGCTACTCTTCTCTTCATTTTCCCTTGCAAATTGCAAAGGCAGCACATTAGACTTGATTTACAAATACAGTGTGTGTGTGTACTAGGTACGGTACTGGGAGGAATATGTTTATTAGGTCTTGTCATGACAAGAAGTACTCAAAGCAATTTTCATGGTGTAAGCAATGCGGGATGCTTATTTGATGGCGCTAAAAATATTGTTCTATTTACTGGCTCCTCATTCACTTCTTATGCTTTTCTGCAGACCCCAGAAGAGCTGGATGACTCTGACTTTGAGACGGAAGACTTTGATGTGCGCAGCAGGACCAGTGTGCAGACAGAGGACGACCAGCTCATCGCAGGCCAGAGTGCACGGGTAAGTTCACTTGGTATTTATCATTATCATTATGTGAAGGCAATTACACACAATACGCCTGTGATATTGATCAAGGTTACACAACTGGAGAATTTGAGTCATTGTCTTTCATCCTCAACCAACTTTGTTATCTTCACTTATGTTGTACCGTTAGCCATGATAAGCTGATTTATGTAGTTTTCCTCTAACATTCATTGAAATTCTGCCCAATTCCAGTGCCTTACAGTGTTGGGTATAATACTTTGAAAATATATTCCATTCCAAAATGCTAAATACACTTTTGTTCCATTTTTGTCTGTCTATGGAAATACATTGAATGAAAAGAAATCCTCCTGATGTGCATTCTGTGTACATGTTGTTTGTTGTGCACCTAACATGCTACATATATTCCTCTTTAGGCAATCATGGCACAGCTGCCCCAGGAGCAGAAGGCAAAGATCGCAGAGCAAGTGGCCAGTTTCCAGGAGGAGAAGAGTAAACTGGACGCTGAGGTTTCTAAATGGGACGACAGCGGCAACGACATCATTGTGCTGGCCAAACAGATGTGCATGATCATGATGGAGATGACTGACTTTACCAGGTCAGTATCGAGGCTGTGAATGTTAATGTGTCTGCTGCCATCTCCTCATATTAATGGCCTTTGTTCTGCAATACAGGGGAAATGCCTTCCAGACAAAATACATATTTATATTCAGCTTATGTCAAACACAATCAGTATGAGCCTACATCTGTTTGATAACATTTGACCTTTCTACCCAAGCTCTGGAATACCATGAAAATACTCCTTGTATATGTTGTGCTATTGAGGGAAAAAATACAGTATAACGTGTAAACTAGTATTATACTCTTATGCTCTCTATTTTAAAAAATCATCTATGTATCTCAGTAAAACAAGGGTTGTTACTTTCACTGTGAAAGTATGTTTCACTTTGTCAACGAACATATGCAGACTCAATGAAAATCATTCCACATTTATTTATGTCGCCGTGTCACCACAGTCAATCAATGGCCACCAGGACAATAAAAATGACACAACTTGGTAGTGACTAATAATACAACAAAACCAACTGCATTTAGATTCTATAACTGCCTACTCTTATTGACTATACACAAAGGATCTGAAACCACTTCAATCTCAATCTAACATCCATGTTTTATTGTGGCGTCATGGCTGCAGCATGTGCGTTTGTGAAGAGGTTATTGATTGCAGTGACATTTTTATATCCACATGGAGGCTGCATCTTCCTCAGTTTTACAATGCCAAACTGACCAAATGATTTAAAGAAAGGATTGTCCAATCTATTTTTTTCCTTTTTTCCTGTTTAATTGAATTGAAACACCTTCTTTCCTTAACCAAAGTCAAATTGAAAAGTTAGGCAGACATTTTTGCATCTACAGTACTTCTCTCGTGTCATGAGGGTATACTCCTTTATTTTTTTCTGTTAGTTCATACAGACGTCTTTGCATGGCCCTCTGAACATGCATAGTAGAGCTACCTCCTTATATCTGCACGGTTTGAGTGGTGTAGAAAAAAGAAAAATAGGACTTTATTGAAAACCTGTCAAGCTTGACGGCTGAAGACACTGCTATTGGGACTGTATTTTTTTTCAGATGCAATGGGGTGGCCTGTAGTTTGATACTTGTGGCAGCCAAAGCTATACTCTATTCAGATAATATAAGATCCATGACGAGGCTAAGAAACATTTAAGTGGCCTTACTTGCTGAGTCTGACTGCTCAATGCATTGTTAGTGCATTCTCTCTAACTCTCCAAGCATGACACTAGTTCAAACATAATGTATGCCTGTGAGTTTCCTGTTGCTACCTGATGGAGCTGTCACCTAGCAACTACCACTGCATGGTGCTGGCATCCATTATTTACGTGATGGCTTTGATTTTTTTTGTTTCTTAATGTATGCAAGAAAAACCTAAGGAATCGCACATGTCACAAAGGCATCAGTCTTGTTGCTATGAGAGTCAGGAGAGGGACTCAAACGTGACTCCTGAACTCTACCTCATAATCACACCCATCTAATGGTATTATAGTAGTCTTACTCACTGTATTGTGCTTTAGAGGGCCATACGACAACGTTTTTACAATGTTGATTAGTGGTCCCCAACATTTTTTGTGCCAGGGACCAAATTAATGACAATTTTCACATTTCTCTTTTACTTCTTCTTTTGTTCTGCCTCTGCTGTCAAGATTTGCAAAGCACTTCTTGTAAAAATCCCACTAATTGGGGGTTGACCGTTTATTGGCATCAATATCAGTATTGCTTTTTATAATATATTCTATTGCATTTTGGCTTTATGGAAGTCCAGTGGCTGGCTAATGCTGCACCCGACCAAATAGTTGCCCCCTTCACCTTGACCTTACCAAGGTTAATGGTGTGTGTAGTAATTGGTATGGACCTCATTTCTGCCAAGTGTGTAGAGTAAGATTCTTGTTGATTCGTGCTTCGCTCACAGCTGTATGGCAGCTCTTATGAATAACTCGTGGGATCGGGAAATATGCAACATATTTGGGAGTCACCTGTCTCGGGGCATTGCCCATTCACTGGTGTAGACAATCATGACAAAAAATTTAAATTTTATATATGTTTGAAGCCTGAAATGTGGCGAAAGGTTAAAGGGGGCCGAATACTTTCGCAAGAGTAGTATATCTCTGTATAAGAGTACTGTATATCTCTCACTTTTTATGTAATGGGTCTGTATGCTTCACATTGAAAGTGAATTACTATGATTCAGTAGATATTTTCATTTTTTGAGTTTTTATTTGTATTTGACATGACAGCCAGTTCAAACAGTGGGCTCTGCTCAATGGTGCATGACACTAGCTAGCCTTTAGCAGCCTACGCCATTCCTTCTGCACCGTGTTTTTAGTTTTTCCTTGTCGATGCAGGAGTGTCTAAGGACAGCATTGATGGTCCAGGACACTCAACATTCAACATTATTTATGGGCATTGGTCATTGATCCCCGTATGGACTAATGGCTTGATTCTCTGATCTTTGTTGGCAAATCATAGACTTTTTAAAGTCCTCTGAGATAACCTCTGTTGTGGTTTAGGGAATAAAAATACATTTACTGAAATTTCCCTACTGTGGGACGAATTAAGTTTTTTCATTGATTAATTTTGTCTCACTCCACACTAAACTGTACATTGCGTCAATCTAACTTCAAGCGACAATAACATAAATGTATGAACTAGGGCTGTCAAACGATTAACATTTTTAATCGCGTTAATTACAGCTTAAAAATGAATTGATCGTAATCAATCACATTTCAAACTAACAGCAAATGTATGCCTGATTTTTCTGTAAACGGTTGTTTAAAAACGGCATTAACATTATTCATTTAGTCTTTCTATAGTAGTTAGTGTTGTATTAAAACCCGTAATTTAATTGAAAAGTTGAGCTCATTGATTCAACTGTGTATAAATTCAGGCCATAAAAAGTTCTGCAGAAACTTTGCTTTACGCTCTTTCTCCTAGGCCACGCCCCCTCTAGCCTCTGCAGCGCATGTAAACAGCAGCATAGTAGGAGAAGGGGGCTATAATTCCTCTGGCTGCAGACACAGCTGTAAAACACCCCAAAAGACAAAACAGTGAGGAGGAGACGCGGGAACTAAAGCGAAAAAATTATCAAAGAAATCAAGCCCGGGTGAATATAGCTAGCTGCGCGAAACTAGCGGTAATCTTTCAGTTATATATTTTGTTAGCAGTGCGTTGCTTTGGTATCATTTCATCAGTGATTGTTGTACAGCTTCTAAGAAGTTGTGCTCATAAGTGTCCGCGTCACTTATGAGTTTGGGATGCATGGGCGGGTCAATTGGCACATGCGTTAGTGCATTATTTTTTTTAACACGATTAATGAAAAAAATTAATTGACGTGCGTTAACGCAATAATTTTGACAGCCCTAGTATGGACCAAAAATGTTTGTACCCAAACATTTTTTAATGCTATGTAGCTTATAGATATACTTCGTATAATCTAAGATGGGCAGTTAAAACCATTTCAAGAAAAATGGATGCCTTTCAAAATTGCTTTATTGAACTTTAAGGACATAATTGTTACATTTAGGACATGACATGAACAGTTGGCAGTAACGACCGCGGATATTTCGGGACTTATTTGTGTCTTCGACCAAAATGTATCACTTTGGTACAGTTTTGTGTGGAGTTAGCCTCTTCTCAAGCTTGTTAGAAAGCAATCTTTCTCTTTCATACTAGATAGCTAGCCTCTGTTCACACATACATACATAAATTCATACATGAAAGAAGAAACTGGGACCTTTTAACAAAGTGAGTTTAAGAATAACTTCTCATGAGATTCTTTTAAAGACAAAAATGACTTTAAAATCCCTCCATTGTGTAAACTGTTGGTACCCCATCAGCTGAACACAAGCAGTTTTTTTTGTGTTTATACAGTCTATGTGAAATAAAATCATTGGTGTTCTAAAGGCTGACCCCCATACAGTGCCTTGCGAAAGTATTCGGCCCCCTTGAATCTTTCAACATTTTGCCACATTTCAGGCTTCAAACATAAAGATATAAAATTTTAATTTTTTGTCATGAATCAACAAGTGGGACAAAATCGTGAAGTGGAACGAAATTTATTGGATAATTTAAACTTTTTTTTAACAAATACAAAACTGAAAATATTATTCGGCCCCTTTACTTTCAGTGCAGCAAACTCAGTCCAGAAGTTCAGTGAGGATCTTTGAATGATCCAATGTTGTCCTAAATGACTGATGATGATAAATAGAATGCACCTGTGTGTAATCAAGTCTCCGTATAAATGCACCTGCTTTTATGCCCCTTTGATAGTCTCAGGGTTCTGTTTAAAGCGCAGACAGAACCATGAAGACAAAGGAACACACCAGGCAGGTCCGAGATACTGTTGTGGAGAAGTTTAAAGCTGGATTTGGATACAAAAAGATTTCCCAAGCTTTAAACATCTCAAGGAGCACTCAGCACTGTGCAAGCAATTATATTGAAATGGTAGATTTGCAGTTTGTCTGATACTCCTTCCAAGACCCGGCCGTCCCTCCAAACTTTAGTCTCAAACAAGGAGAAGACTGATCAGAGATGCTGCCAAGAGGCCCATGATCACTCTGGATGAACTGCAGATAACTACAGCTGAGGTGGGAGAGTCTGTCCATAGGACAACAATCAGTCGTGCACTGCACAAATCTGGCCTTTATGGAAGAGTGGCAAGAAGAAAGCCATTTCTCCAAGATATCCATAAAAAGTCTTGTTTAAAGTTTGCCACAAGGCACCTGGGAGACACACCAAACATGTGGAAGAAGATGCTCTGGTCAGATGAAACCAAAATCGAACTTTTTGGCCACAATGCAAAACGATATGTTTGGCGTAAAAGCAACACAGCTCATCACCCTGAACACACCATCCCCACTGTCAAACATGGTGGTGGCAGCATCATGGTTTGGGCCTGCTTTTCTTCAGCAGGGACAGGGAAGATGGCTAAAATTGATGGGAAGATGGATGGAGCCAAATACAGGACCATTCTGGAAGAAAACCTGTTGGAGTCTGCAAAAGACCTGAGACTGGGACGGAGATTTA